TTTTGCAGGGCAGGGCACTACAAAAGCAGTCCCGTAATACTTTTGCATAATTGRGCCCGATTTCAAATCTGACTTGTTATAACAACATCCAATAGTCTAGACTTGAGCTTTTTGGAGTGACTCAAGTACCCTTCTTACTATTCAACCCAGACAAAGTCAGATCAAACAGTGTCACTTGCAAGATATGTAATAGAGAAGAATCAATCCTGAATAGATCATCGGTTTTACTGCGAAGTCAAMTTAATTCTAACGAAAATTAGATTARAATAAAATATTGGACGAATTGTYGGGCAAAGCAGCAGGTTTCAATAAATTTGTTGGSCAGTCTCGCACTGATTAGTCKCATTTATGGTTAAAAAGATTATTCTTTACCTCCACCCTTTTAAATAAACAGTTCAGCAAGATAAATGCAGCTGCTAGCCGCGGGCAAATTTTAATTTCAATTCCACCACGTCATTATAATTTAATTTTTACTTTTCAAAATGCAGGAAAATCGCCAAACCTCCTCCGCATTCAAGTGGGCTACATACATATACGAAAATGGTGTTTGAAATACTCCAAAAAGAGGAAATAATCAACATTGATAAGGTGCAGTGCTTTGTTAACTATTTTCATTTGGAAAGAAAGCCGGCATGTGTTTTTTTGGGATAATGTTAAGGCTAAGTGAAGCTTAACTGGAATTCTCGCCTGCCTTGTCAGTAATGCAATAGGGGATTACATGAAATAGGATTGCGCGCCTGCGCGGATCATTTGTTAAAAGATAACTTACTGCATGCTTGAAGTATGAAAAGCTGAAGCACCAGRGAGGGAGAACGGGTGGGCATGTAATCCCTTTTGGGATGGTGACAGTGTAGAATTGCAGTCAAGCTTCAACCTACAGGTTAGTCTCGCTTAACTATAGCATTCTACTATACCTTGTCACGAAATGGGGAATCACATGAGATTTCAAAGCCGTGTATGGAGGGAGCAATAACGACAGCAAGTAAAAATGTAAAACACTTACATAGACTTTTATTGGCACAATACCTTGAACAGAAGACTTCCTGGTAGCCACTTTGTTGTAATAATTAGAAAATACACAGTCACTTTTCYAACCTGTTGCCGCTAATATGTTCAGTCCAATTGAACCTATCTTTGATGCTGCTGAAGTTGAAACTGCTCTTGGCACTATGAGGCTTAAATATTCTTTTATTCTAGTTTCTTCCATTACGGTTTTAATTCATCGACCAACCGTTGATAAGGTGTAACATTTGAGAAAACATTCGAGAATKTTGTCCTCTGATCGTTGTTGTTCTGCGTAAATACTCTCTAAACAAGGTAAATTCACACAATCTGTCATCATGGACTTAAAAATTCAAACATTAGGAGATCAGCGGGTTATTTATTTTTGGTTCCAACTTTTTATTGATTCACAGCAGTTGTAATAATAAATGGAATTAAAGAAGGCACTTCTAGCACCGAGATAATATATTCAGACAATGAAGTGATTGGCATTTGTGCCCTGATAATAGCAAAGYTCGCATAGCCATAAAGTTAGAGTTTTAAGAGGAATGCTTGCTGCTGGATGTTTGGTGGCCAGAAACTTCAAAACGACTTCGACATTCCCAGTTTCAGTGTATTTGGGTAATTAGGTCGCATGTCATACACACCCTTTAGAAATCTAACAACTTTTGATTGAGCACTAAAAGTAACATTGTTTATAGGGAGATAAAAGACAGGAAAGGGTTAACCGTGCCTTGGTAACTGCGCTGTATACAACTGAAAGTCTAGAGCTTGAAAAGGGTCACTATTTTTTACTTTACAGAATTCGGTCTACTTGTTTATGTACACTTTCTATTGTTTGGATTAGACTGATTCCATAAGTCGTAGTATTCGCTCCTCGATTTTTCGTTTTTTCGCTCAAACTAGCGACTTATGTACTTTATCACAAACGACTGTACAAACGAAAACGAGGCAGTCGTGCATATTTAATTAGCTGGAAGTGAATTCACACTAGTAGCCGTTAGAATATTTCTATATAAGATCGTATTAAGACTATTAAAGTTTTACCAGGAGTTTATAATCATTGTTAGGATGTATTTGTGGCAAGATGAAATTCTGATGAATGAAATGTGTTTGAGCTAAAGCTTGCAAGGTGTGGAAAGAATTTTAGTTGAGACAATAGCCCACTTCACGGATAACACAGCTATTAGAAATTGAGCAAATAACGAAAAACGATTACCACCACTGGAAAGAACAGTGTAAAATTAGTATATGTTTACCAAGTTTGAGCATAATTCGATGAAAAGTCAAGGAGATACAACGTTTAAAAGTCCAAAATTTATATGAGAAATGTATGGGCTGTCGGCATGAGATCGAGGTTGACCTTGAGTTGTTACAACCTCGCCAAACATTTCTAAGCAAAATTTGGTGATTTTGAAGTGCCGTATCTCTTTAAATTTTAATCAGATTATTTCCAAACTTGGCAAATTTGCTGATTTAATGACGCTCTTTCCAGTGATGTCAATGATTTACCATAACGACGTAATGTAAAATTTCAAATTATCCGCGAAATGGTGTATTATGCGCTTGCGGCAACTGTCTGGAAATTCAAATACATCGAATTAGAATTACAGATCAACATTAGCTCCTTTCTAAAACACATTCGTAGTCCACGGTTTTTCACAGCAAGGTAAAGTTAGATAAAAAATCAATAGCACTTGAACTGTTTGATTTTGCAACATTTAATTCAATTGATCACTTTGCGACACTTACATAGTTTGGCAAATRTACAGATATTCACAAGCCGTTTCATCAGAGTTAAACTATGGAAGTGTCAGTGGAATGGAAATACATTCATTATTCTTTCATCGAAGCGTATTAAATCATGCCMTTCTCCAACAAGCATTGGCTCGCCTACTATGCTTTGTCCTCGAAGAGACTACTTATGTGTTGGAATTAAASAAAAACAATTTCTCTCCGAATCCCGCAGGAAGACACACAAACATATTCTTTCCTTCTATAGATTGTAAGAGCGCGTTTCTTGAAGGGCTTTTAACACACTATTACTCGATATCTTTATAACGGTATAAAAACAAGATGGCGACTCAGAATTTTTCTCAACGGAAAAAAAATTGAAGCTTATTATGATAAGAGGCTCGCTATGATTGGCTGAAATATGCTGACTAATATAAAAAGTGTTTTGATTGGCTGGTCGCGCTTTTTCAGGATCGTGTACAGCCATTTCTAATAAGTGGAATCAGTCTGTCCGGGAGCAAAGAAAGAAAAGGAGCGAACTGACAGACTGGTGGAATCAGTCTATTGTTTGGGTATACAATGTCACCAGGATTTGGAGATAGTGTTTGTTGCACCATCTGAAATTTCTTTTTTTGAATCGACGTCCTGACAGCTGTAGCATGGCCGAGATTAGAGAGGATGAACATGCGCAGAACCCACAGGATTTCGAATCCAATTTTTTGTAGAATGTTGTTGTAGAATGTAAGTGAGTTTCTGAACAATTACCGGTACCTCGTTTTCGCGTAAATTAATTACCGACTAGAATTTTCAAAAGCTTCGGAAACCATGGTTAGGGTGACCATATATTTCTGAAAAAATTAGGATTACTTCTGCTTCCTTCTGATCTATCTTCATTAGGCACTTCAGATTCAATCTAAAATGAGGACATACATAAAATAGGTTATGCTAGGGTATAGAAAAATGCATCAACATGTTAAACCCATGGATTTGGTTTYGARGAAACATAGCAGGTTAAMTGGGCAYTCAGTCTTGAAGCAAAMTATCTATTTCAAWGGGTCCCCAACGCAGTTCAATAGATGAAAATATATTCCTGACATCGATCAATCAATCGATTATTAAAGATTATTATTATTAACCAGGTAGGTGAGGAGCACTTAACCATAGCTCCTGAGTGATACATAATTCTCAGATTTGCATTGCAAGTGTATCAAATGATTCTGATACCGTGTATACCTGAGAAAAAGGCATGTAGCAACAAACTCCTCCTCTAGTACAAATAATCACATGTACATCAAGTTATGTAATTTGATAAGATATCTAGAGATGAGATAGTAAAGAAACACACGTGCTTTAAAACGTAGTCTAATTTCTTCAGCTTTTACCAACTTTACTGCATCTTTCAAAGCCATCAGTGACTAGTAAAATACGGTTACTAAACCCGTGCAACACATGCCCGCATTTCAACGAGGTAAGTAACTGCAAAAGTGTTTCAGACTGATTTCTGACATGTTTGTCGAGCATATCTGTACAAACGTTTTCGAAAGCAACCAGCACTGACAGCATTTCTAGGTAGTTAATGTAGTATATKGCTTCCAATTGAGTCCACTGACCCCCGATGGATTGATCAATCTAAACAGAACCACAAATCTTTCAATTAATGAGAAGATTTCTTTCARCTACCTGCCTGTAGTAATTTACTTTCGTATTGAATCAGATATAATATTCGTATTGAAACAAACARCTTTCTTTTAATGCCACGCTACACAAGACATAGGTAACCCATTCACACACTATATTACCTCCCTTATTTAAGAGAAATAGAACAATTTTAACGAATAACGTCTCTTGTCAATAACAACAGTCAGTATAGTTCATAATMTTTCAAGTGTTGTGGTGCACAACGCYCCCTGGTTGGGCTCTGATTGTCATTCACTTGTTCGTCTGGTTGATTGGRTGGTAACGCCACATCAGTGTCCCTTTGGTCTCCAGTAACAGGCTCATTGGACTTCTGAGAATAWWCTTTGACTTCCTTAAGTCGTTTCATGTGTGAGACAATGCGTTTGTATTCAATTCCACCTGAGGACTTAATGGTRACCTGATTTCCATTTCGACTTGTCAATTCATATGGTGATGATTCAAATCTTGTGCTTAACGTATTCTGCTTAGATTGTTCCAACAGTACGTTGTCTCCTACAGAAAAAATGTCATTGTTTTGAGCATGTCTCCGTGCATCACTGCAGTTCTGTTTGTTTTCCGCATCTCTATCTCTTACCTCAGTGAATTTACTAATGTTGTTCGCGTCTTTTCTATAAATTTTGTCTTGATCTTCCATTCAAACACTAATTCAGCAGGTGACACACCTATCGTTGAATGTGGTGCCGTACGATAGGCCAGCAAATATGTAAGAATCTCCTGTCYCCAGTCTTTTCCCTCAGAATGTGCAACTATTAGAGCTTTGAGCATACTCCTATTTTCACGTTCCGCTTACCCGTTTGCTTGCGRCCAGTAAGGTGTGTTGATTCTATGTTCAACTCCATTCCGTTTCAAGTACAGTTCAAATGTCTCAGCTATAAACTGCGGTCCATTATCAATCCTTAATGTCCACAATCACAAGTAAACATTCACCTGTTAGCATAGGACCCAAMAGCTCAGCTGCTACAAATTTCCAGGGTTCAGATGGCAACTGCGTTGATTTGATTGATTCAGGGGGAGTTGGTAAACCAACAAATTGACGGCATCCATAACACGTCTTACATTTCTCTTCGACATCTCGATCAATGTCAGGTTCTTAGACGCTGTTTTGTTTTAATAACCCTGGCCTTCATGTACATGTTCCACAATTTTTCTCCTCAGTTTATTACGAACAACAAGCCTTGTTCCTCTTAATATTAATTGTCCATAGACACAATGTTCAAATCGAATGGACTTGAATGTCCCATTTATCAGACAAAATACATCTTCTAAGCCTAGAAAGCTTCTCATCCTCTGCGGAMAGCCTTTCCACTTCTTGGATACTTATCGCATAAGGGGCTGCACTGGCAGCAACAAATCAAACATRTCACTTCCTGTAATTCAGTGCTTTCTGTTGTGTTGCACTAAAATAGGAATGTAATAAACATATTATTATTAATATTGTTATTATTATTATTATYACTATGCTCTTCTGCGTCGTCACTTTGCTCCAATTTAGTGCATTTTACAAGGGGTTAGTGTAAATAAAACATCTGCAATATTTTTTGATCCAGGTATGTAGTTCACAGTTAAACTATAGGGTTTTAACCGTAAGACCCAACTTTCAACTCTAGCTTATGGCTTTGATGACTTCGAATAGATGTATTCCAAAGGTTTATGGTCTATTTGTAGTTCAAAGTCAAATCCATATTGTTCCTATTGAGATTTGGGCCTCTCTCTTGCAGTCTTTCCAGTGCCTTTTTTTCAGTTTGCGATCATGGTCTTCCCTGTCCGTTCCATAAACCACATTATTGTCATCCGCAATATTCAGTGCACCATCACACCCAACAAGTGTCTGTTGTATGATGTGCTGATACATTTTAGGGGCAGAACTAATGCCAAACATTAGCCGTTTATATGGGAATAGACCTCGGTGTGTTACAAATGTAGATATCTTTCTGGAATCAGGATCAAGTTCTATTTGGTGGAATCCCAACTTTAAGTGAAAATAGCATTAACAGTATTAACAGTATTCATAGTCGAGTGTTTACCTTTGATTGCACGACTCCAAATGCATAGCTTGTTTGTTGTTCATCTTGTACTTCATTCAATTTACTAGCATGTCTATTTTGATCTTTCCCAGTTTGCTTTCTGTAGTTGGTTTTGTCCACAGAATTTTTCAAAGTGACCCACATTTTTGCATTTCTACAGGTAGAATTCTTCGCAGGACAGCACGTGTCTCGGCTCATGTGTCCTACGACCACACCTGTAGCACTTAGGCTTAAACTTCTTTGATCCAGGCACGTGTTTACTTCCAGACATAGCGTTTAGCGACTCAGTTTGGGTTCTTTCCATTTCTTTTTACTGTAGCTCGGCTGTTTCCATGTCTGGTGACAAATCTTGTACGTTTTTCAGCTTTAAATCAGTTCCTTTTGATAATAATTTTATCCTAAGTCGCGCTGAGTGACATTTATCAATTTCTNCCGACTACTTCAGGTTCCGCTAAAGCGTCGAAMATATCCTGAACTCTCTCTCCAGCTAAATGCAAAAGAGGAGCTTTTTTGCTGTCATCATMTTTGATCCCTCTCCMAGTCAAGAAGTATTCGAAGGATCGCTTCCATCTTTTCCATCGAGGACCCACGCTCGTGACATCTGCTGTMGGATMAAACGCTTTTAATCAGTCTGATTCGCATTCGTTTGCCATCCTGACCGAACCAACAATATAATCGAGTTCMATCKTGTCTGTTTTACTAATCCTCGTCGCCAGATGTAGTAATTTACATTATTGGCCTTTACCTAAACGAGAAGGAGACTGGGTACTAGTTATCTAAATTAACCTAATTAAAAAAAATAATCATATCATTGGAAAGACCACCACAAAATAAACAAGATTCCGAGGTTTGGTTGCTTTTGGTTAAAAAAATGTGTAAGAAAAGGACCTTCAAAATTGTCAAAAATTGCAAAAAAATGTCCATCCAAACCATACATTTCCTTAGAGGGCATTCCATCAATTTGAAGCATTTTCTCCTTAATGAGCAAGTTCACTGTTGCTTCGTTTTCACGGGTTTTTGTCGATTCGATTATTGAGTATTTGTCATTAATTATGGCTTTTGAGTTGTCATCTTCTCTAATTGCATTTTCTTCACAAGGCGACGAAATCTTTTTTTAAGTATAGAGACTATAGAATTGACCATTGAGGTAAAGCTGTCAATAAATTATGGGGTATTTTTGGTTTGTGATGGGGGGGGGTTTACGACCGGGAATGCAGGAATTATCAGGGGTGTTATYAATTGCTTTACTTACTTATCACTTACTTACACACTGTAGGCTTTAAAAGAGGAAGTGAAACTGTAACACTACACTTTAAATTTTTAAGTTTGTCGTTGAATTCATTGAACATCATTGTTGACTTACCTATGGCATACGATKTATTTCTATTAGATGTGTTTCCGTTCTCTTTAAGCACTTTTCCTCTTYAAATCAAATAATATTTATCATTGTTTTTAAGATATTTGATGCACTATATGAGGAACTTAATAGAGTTGATGGTGAAGTTCATGAGGTAAATGATTGGCTGGATGGCTGGTTGGCTGCCCGGTATCCTTCCAACAAAAACATTTTAATCCCGTAAAATTGATTTACTCTCCTTTGGAATATATTTGCAACAAACGGAATGGTTGCAAATCGGAAGAATAGCTTATGCCGATAAAATCCATGAAAGCATATATTTTAAAACAGTCCGCGTTACTTTTTTGCCTCCAAAATTGTTATAAAGTTTCTCTGAAAAAAATGTTTGTCGTCGAACAGGAAGGAATAATTAGCACAAGAGATTGTCACATGCYCAGAAAATACAAAAATCTAATCAATTTGCATGCAAAATCTTCAAGATTGCGATGTGCAATTTTTATGTMTATCGGTATTCATTGATTTTGTTTTTGCCATGGTATCGCTTAGAAATCTTCCATTTTCGTTGTTTAGATATTGCATACCAGAAAAAACGTCAATAGAAGACTGGGCGACGTGCTAAATAGTTTTGAAGCAATTGGGATGATTTCAAGAGATGGGAGGATGRTCAAATGGTTAGGCTATCCAAACTACGAAGACGAAGAAGAGGTAAAGAAGCTCAAGGTGAAAAATTAACGCTTTTAAAGGGCCAAATATCATTTGAATCTTACTCTCTTTCTCTCCTTAAATGTACTTTARTTTGAAAAAGCCATCGAACTTGGTTTAACTCACATACTTCTACGAAATAGGATAAAAACAGCCGAACAAATCATTTTTACCTATGCAATTTGAGCAGAAAAATTCAAGTAGCTTTACCCTTCGAGCGAGAAACATCAGAAGCCAAGGGCATTTGTTCCAAAACAAAAAAAAAACAGTGTTCCTCGGTCCAAGCATTTTCATTAGTTGACAATTACATGGTAGTGACATCAAGAATACAGTTGAGAGTTATATCCGTCAGAATGAAGGAAAACTTTAGCTTTAGAAAAARGATCGTCAGGAAATCAGGCTAGAATTGAATATGTTGTTAGATTTTTGATTTATATTCCAATCTAGAACGAGAAAGAAAAGCTCGAGGAACGTATTGAAGAAAAGATAAAAAGGCTGGAAACACTGGCTATCCAGGTGAATATATCTAAATATTATAGAAAAATGTTAGTGATGATTGCTTACTATGTRCGCTCAGTCGAAGGTGAACGTACATACTGTCATAAGCTGTCAAAGTTTCAATTCAAGTGATGAATCACTCTAACATTTTTAAAGTGCAACTGAAGCCTACTAGGAAGTCATTTGATGCTGTTAAGCACTTCTGCAAAGAAAAAAAAAACTTTCAAATATATATCTTCTGATTTAGAAATATTTGAAAATCGGAAATGCAAATTAAGTGACGTCTACTAAGGAATGATTTAATATGCAAAATCACGAAAAAAAATACATTACTCTTATTTTATATTAGAGATAACATTTCCAGTTCTTAAATATCACTGTTATTGATGACTTGACCATTTCAATCGGACACAAGATATAGCAAACAATGAAAAACCTCCAGCCCAATTACAATTTACTGACGTCAATTCGTTAGCATTTTCAATTTTCAAATGCCTTTAACTCAGAAAATAAAATTCAAACAACTTTTTTTTCTTCAAGACAGTGATAAGCATCATATTTGCCTTTTTTAAAAAAAATGATTTTCTTGTAGGGTTCAGTTGCACTTTAAATTTAACTTTGAACTGAAAAGTATGTTTTGCGTAATTAGTATAGAGACAGCAGGACGGACCTAAAATCGGATGAAATTTGGTTGRAAAAAAAGGAAATTTTATAATGTAATATAATCAAGCCCGAAGATTGTAATATGGACGAGCTAAACCGTATTCTAAAACAATCTTCTAAAGCCCAACGAGAAACCATTTCAATAGAAATATTAACTTTACCACGCAGTTTTCATACTTTGTGTTTTGAAAGCAATATTTCTTTAGTTAAACACCAAGAAACAAAAGAATCTATGTTTGAAAGAGGAATTTGAGAAATATTTCAGTCGAGCCCAGGAATTAATGGCRTATGGTATTGTATGGCATTATAGATGAACTTGAAGAGTTGCTGTTTAGCTTAGAGATAAAACCTAAAGAAAACAATCTTTGACATCAAGATTACAAGAAGAAGCAGTAGCTTACAAATTAGCAACCTATCATTTTACTGCAATACCAAAGCTTAGTCAGTCATCGAACTTTGTGAAATGCATGATAGCTATCTYATAGGTAAGGGCTCTCGAGATGGATTACGATTAGCTGGTTTACGTGCTTTCGACCGTCTGATTTTTCAGTGAAAACCTTAAGTGCTGTTGTGCAAGTAATGAACAATGAAAGTTCTGCTATAATGAAAGTCAAAATAACAGTASAATTGTTTTTGAAGAAGATGATGCTGTGTTAGAATCTTCACTGAAGAATTAAAGAATGTAAACAACTGATGTCTTTTATCGATCTATTTCAAATTTCGGAAGAATTTCATCGTAAATATGAAGAGTAGTCATTATCATTGTCAAATATTCAATTCTCAAATGATAAACTTGACGAAAACCTCTCTTTTTAATAACATAAAAGATTTGCGCGTCGGCTATTTTAGGTTCTACACTGCTTACCATATCACAGCCTCAAGAAACTAACTCAGCGTGTAAATAATAATTCCCACAACACACACATTAGATCGACCTGACATCGGCCCTACATCGACCTGTGACATCTGACCTGTCATCGACCCCACATCCACCTGACATCCACCTGACATCCACCCGATATCGACCTGAMATCGACGTGACATCGACCTGATATCGACCCGCCATCGACCTGACACTGACCTGACATTGACCCCACATGATCCTTCTTTGGATTGAAAATAGTTAAAAAAAGAAAATGTATTAATATTATAATTGTTGACCAAGAGTTGTCCTTACTTTGACAGACATTTGGTCCCGGATTTGGTCTAACGCAAATACCATTCGCTGATCCTTTGTTTGCAATCCTTCGTTATTTTACCTGTACAGTTTTGTTGACAATCGGCACTTGAGTCTTTTGTTCTTTTAGTTCTTGTAGTTAGACATTTGAATATCAGCAGCTTTTAAAATAGAAGGTCTGTAGTTTATGATTGGCTTTGGTCGGCTTTGGATATAGCCTAAATGGCTTGTGTATCATAACTTAAGTCACAATAAGCTTGATAAATTCGCGGTATTTTTCAAAAAGCCCATTCCGAAAACAGTCGACATCTTTTAGTGTGGCTATACCGCGTGTGGATTTGTGAGTGATTTGAGCGTATTTTTTGAAGAAGAAGAAATACCATAAGTCCATCGACGAAGAAGCGGATGCAATTAGCACTTGACGCATGGGACGAGACAAGACAGGCTAGGAACGCCTGGCTAGTCTGGTCGCAATTTGAGGTGTTGGGTGCTAATCGTCCTTCATGGCAGCATGGGTGCAGAATTGCGAAACACGCAGCTCGACTAGCTCTCAAGTCGAAGTGCTATATTACAGACACATTTTACAGACACTTACACATAGGCGTGCTGCCGGCTAGGCGCTTCCTTTACATAGCAACGGACGACTGAACGCGGAGCACAGCAGATAGAAATGGTTCGTTTTTACTGAGGGAGGAAAACCAGGAAAGACCCGGAAAAACCCTCGACGCAAGGGAGAGAACGAAAGAAACTCAAATCACATATGGCGCCCCGATCGAGATTCGAACAGGGTCCACAGAGGTGACAGGCCAGCGCTCTCACCGCTCGGCCACCCATGCGTCCCGAAATTTGGCGATGAATGCAAAAAAACGCCGAAATTAATACTCGCCGTTCCACAGCAACCTCGAGTAATTAGTTAATATACCAGGAGGCATTCAGTAAAAGGAAAGTGAAATCAGTAAGAACCATTATTTGATGCTTGCTCCTCCAACAAGTACAGAAGAAACTGTCTTGTTTGCCACAAGTCTGTATAGCGATCATTTGGGACAAGTACATAACMCTTACTGTTAGARAAAGAAAAACAATGGCTTTCARTGGCTCTCTTCAGTTCACAGCAAAAAGGATGTACATATAATCCTTTAAGAGCTGAATCATTTTCACTTTTAGTTGTTGGAACAACTCAAAGTGGTCAACCAATATTAGAAAATTCAAATTGAAGATTGGATTCTCTACGGAACAAGTAAAATTCGTCGTATATGAATTATCGTCAAAAAATGTAAAATCTTCATTGAATGTAAAATAATAAGGTACGTTAAGATCAATTCATTGTTTTTACTCCTTTTTTCGAGGGGGGCACAATTTCTTCTATTGAACCACATTTTAAGAATACATGATTTTATTTAAAAAAAATATTCGGATCAGCGTGACCCAAAGATAAAATTCTTCTAAGATCACGTTTGACTTCGTTTTGAAATATGCGACATGTTTGAATGAATTTTACATTGAGATATCTTAACAATATACTAACGTTTAAAAAATTCATATGGATTTCACACTACATAATCAATTTATATCGTTGTTTTTCACTTGTGGTTAATGTTGAATCATTATAACGCTACATATCTTGAACACACAGCCTCAGTCGACAAGAAGTAGCTCATAGAGGGCCTTCAGCATATGATAAACGGTCAGCGTTCATGTGGATAAGCTACTATAAAAGCTTTTGTTACTGTTTTCCGCCTTGAAGCTTCCTTTAGATCGCCTCTGTATTGAACGCAAATGATCTTCCGGCCTTCAATCGTCCTCAAACTGTCCATTTCATAATAGATATATATTGAACGAACTACTGTGCTTGAAAGTTTATACAGTTCCGAAAGGTATTGATTCAACGAAAGATTGATTTGAAAACCCAGAATAGAAGCATCTTTCTGTGCTAACCGCCATAGGCGGCTGCCTTTGACTTCATATACAATCCCCTCGTTTTAATAGTCGTTAGCCACATTCCGCTCTGATAAGGCTACATGACCAGGATTAAGGAAACGTTRATATGAATTATTGAAGAAAGGCCTTTTCTGTCTTCTCAACTTCATGAATAGTGTTGATCACTTCCAACTTGATATTGCAGCAGCAGGAAATATACAACTCGCAAATCATTCAGAGCACATAGTGACTAACAGGCAAGATTCAAGCAATAAATAAGCACTTAGGCGTTCCTTATTAGCACGGCCGAAATACTTTTTTCAAATCTCTATCATTGTGTTCAGATTTTCTTCTATCTTTGAATTATTGTCTGTAGGTGGATAAAGGTTTGTATCATTGCACGCCGAACGGTCTTCTCGCTTCGGTGCAAAGTACGGCTACCTTTCAAGATGCCGTATTGAAACGTGAATATTGTAATAAAGATTGCCACTTTTTCTCCTATGATTGCATTTTTACCTAACTCTCGAGAGAGAACCGTGTCATTTAAGAAGTAAGCAAGTCAAAAGGGGAAGCAGAGATTACATTGAATTAMCTTTTTGATTGTTATCTCGCTTCATTATTTTGTACAGTATTTTATAATYTCTGCAATTTTTGGTTGCAGTGTTTTATAATTTCTTTGTTTGTTTATATCTTTTTAAGCAAAACCTAATCAAAAGTTTCAATTAACAATGATTCTAGAAAGGGTTTTTCAAGGCAATGAGTATTTTTTATAAGCATGTACTTAGCTATTAATGAGAGTCCACGCAGCCTCCAAAAGTGTTCGAAAAAATAATTATTGCGGATGCCAACCAACATTTTCCAAAAGAAAACCTATATATAAAACCTATCATAATTGCTTGAATTAAAGTCGAGATATTGCTGTAAAATGTCATCTCCCATGAATCTATAATTCGGATAGAACACGTATGGGGTGTTTTGTCTGAGTTAAACTTCATCCATGAATTGTATTGATGCAGACTAACTTTACATCTATCATATCACTTAAGATAATAAAAAATTTTTGAACCGCAAACTTAATTACAATCAAAACAACAATAACAACAACAATACTTTGTT